AAGAATGTAGTTAAAGAAATGTAGCTTGATCATAGATTAATTAGGTCAACCAAAGGGGTAAACTAAGGAGAAAGTTTATAAAAGAATTCCATCAATCTTTCCATTGAATATATATATATATAATATATATATATGGTTATGCACTTTTTGGAAAATTATAACTACCTCTTTCAAAGAGGTGGGTGGCCATAACTGCTCAAAAGTTAGTCTTCATTTCACTTTTCAATCGACAATTTCATTTAATTTTAATTTAATGTTCCCTCCTTGTATGTCCCCCGCAATTCAAAATTTAAAAAATATGAATTTCAAAATTCAATTTCTGGTAATATCTAAATTATGAAATTTATACATAGGATTTTTGTAATCATAAAGACAATAAAATACAAGCCTTCAGTTCTGGGTACTTATTTGGTTTTAGTTTTTCTTTTCTCATAGGCTCTTATGGTGGTCTAAACTCATCGCTACATACTCCTTGTGCTGTATCATAATCACCTTAGATGATCCACTAGGGGCATCAGTACTGCTTCCTTAAACATCTCCATTTGTGCACTATATGATACCATTTATCTGAATTGAAATAATATCATTTATTGTATGGGCTTTTACATTCATAACACCCAAAGCTTTCATATTTATTTTTCTCGCACCAAAGCTTTAATTATTACAAATATCATATGAAAAGTAGCACTCATTATCACCTTTTAATAATCAAATACATCTTTTCATCCATAAGTAAAGTGCTAGGTGTGTAAAAAATAAAACTTTGGGTGTGAGATAGGTAAATCCATAAGAACTGAGTGCTATGTATGTAATTTTTCCTTAATGTATTTGTTTTGGTAGCATTTAAATACAAGTGTGTTAATGTAGTACATCTTTAGTTGTGATGAAAGAAAAAGTGGCAGAAAACTCAAACCTTTCAGATTCAGATTTCACTGCACTTTGGTGCTGTTTTGAAGGAATCCTTCCAGAAATGAGGATTTTTTTTTTTCAAATTCCTTCCTCTTTTGTTATCTAGTTCTAATAAAAAATACAAGAAAGAAAAGCATCTCTATGTCCCATATCATTCTCATATATTCTTTCAAACCAACCCCCCTCTTACTGAATATCTATGCAAATCCCCCCTTAAAAGAAAAAAATTTGCATGATTTTTTGCTTTGGTTGTGATGAAAGAAAAAGCAGAAGAAAGCTCAATCTTTCATATTCAGATTTCACTGCACATTGGTGCTGTTTCGAAGGAATCCTTCCAGAAATGAGATTTTTTTTTTTTTTTCAACTTCCTTCCTCTTTGTTATCAAGTTAAAATAAAAAATACAAGAATGAAAAGCATTTCTATGTTGCCATTTCATTCTCATATTTTCTTTCAAATCAAACCCCGTCTTACTGAATATTAACGCTCAATCTATTTTGCAGTAAACTCCTAGCTTGATGATGCAATTATCTGTTTTGCAAGAATACCCATCTCATGCACACATGTACATCGGATTCATGAGCTTCAGATTGCTTGTTCTCCCTGCCATTATATATAAATATATAGATTTAATCATATAAATATTTATGTTCAATTTCATTACTGGATACAGCTGTCGCCAGCTTCTCTTTGGCTTAACATGGTTGACAAAATTTTCTTTGATATAATTCCCGGAAAGAGCTGGATCATTTATTTCTTTTAATTAGTGATGATATCATAATGTTAACGGGTTCTTAGCAGGAAACAACAATCTTATTCCTGGTATATCAAAGGTTCTTTGAACCCTTGGATGTGCTTTGAAATCTGTGATCTTTGTTATCACAGCAACACACTGCACGCATCTTAAAGCAAATTAAATAGCTTTTGGTTGCCTTTCACACACCATAATCGGTTTGGTAACAGAATCTGAGTAGATATCCGTTAAGGAGCAGGAGTTGCTTGCATGTGTTTTATTGCTGAATAGCTGTCACGCGGTTTGTTTGTGGGCTATAGTGGTTGGAATTGTATTCTCTAAGAGAACGCATCTTTGTTCTCTAGTCTTAGAATTCGCTTTCACATATAAGAATAGTTTTCTGGAGCCTGCTTCGAACTTTTTTTTTTTTTTCTCTATCCTTGTCTTCTTCTTAGGGTGCGTTGGGGCAGCTTGTGTTTATCCTGAAACGCGGTCCGTGAGATTCGATTCGAGGCCTGCGTTTAGTGTAAAATCCAACCGTGTTTTCAAATAAGCTGTCGAAACGTGGTTTTCAAACGGTGAGGCGGTGTTTTGAAAATATTGCCCGCCCTTATAAGCTACCTAAACGGGCCCTTAGACTACTTGAGATGGGGACTACTAAGCAAATGGCTAAGGGCGTAATGAGAGCCTAGATATTTTTATTCTCATGACGTTGGAAAATAGCTTTTTTTTTTTTTTTTTTTTAAAGAAATAAATGGACCGTTAAGTTTTCAAAAAATTATCCCTTTTTTTTTTGTTTTCTTAATAGTATGTGGCATCAAATTGAGCAAAAATTTAAAAGTAATATGGCATTTGTTTATTTATTTATTTATTGGCATGTCAGTCCATACAGCTATAAGAAGTTGTTTACTGAGGATTTTTAATTTGTTGAAGAATGGACGTTTGATAATGATTTTTTGTGTTCATATAATACTTTAAAATTTATCAGTGGTGGTTTGATGGAGCTTTGGGCGTTGTATGCTTAAATGCTGTAATAACTGGAAAAATAATTTTGGAAATGATTTGTATTTGAAGCCTTGTGCTAATCATGCATATGATATCATATGGATGTGTGATAAATGCAATTGTTTAAAATGTAGGAGAAATATCTCTATTGACTGCGCCCGGAAAATATATTCTTTTAAAAACTTTTATGTATGATATTGTAATTATATAAATTAAATTAAAATGAAAGCTATATACTTTAATTTTAGAATAATTAGTTTTGTTATTATATTTATTTTAAAAACTTTTACATATGATATTGTAATTATATAAAGTAAGTTAAAATGAAAGCTATATAATTTAATTTTAGAATAATTAGTTTTGTTATTATATTTGTAAAAAAGACATCATTTAATATAATTGTTTATCAAAATTATATTTTAATTCTCTTTTAGAAGTTAGTCTTATTGAACTTCTATCTTTTTTTTTTCATTATTATCGGTATTTATATGTTTATTGTATTTTATTTGTACAAATGTATGGCGTATTTTGCATGAACTACATGTTATTTTATCCATGTTTAAAATTATAATGTATTGTTATGTAATTTTTCCTTAAGGACAAACTGAGTAAATGGACGATTGAAAGCGCATGCTATGCTAGGTCGATGAGAACCATTCGGCGTTTAATTATAAGGGAAATCTTCTTTTGTATTATCATATATCATACTAAGGTGTATTTGTGTGTAAATATAAAAGTTTAGGTGATACATGTAAATATGTATGAATTATCACAAAATTTTGAGAAACATGTTCATACTATTTTCATGGAAAGTACTTTTTGTTGCCATGTAATTATTTAAAATTTATTGTGACCAATATTTGTATGGAATAATAATATGTTAGGAGAATTTGAACGATCTTCGAGCACTATTTAACCAAGATATGATAAATTGTGTTTCAATAGAATCTCGTAACATATTCAAATATATGCATGAAAATAGTCTTTTAACTTAGGAAAGTTAATGGTAGAGATATTTTAATATGATTTAAAATGTTGGTATTGTACTAAATTGTAGAGTTGGTGTTAGAAATGTAAATAAATAAGCAATGTGTGCTATGTATGTAATGCCATAGTATTAAGCTATTCATCATTCAAGTTTTTATGGCAAGCATTTTCTAAAGTTCAAGCACTTATAATGTTCTTATAATAACATAATTGTAGAGAATATCTTTTTATAATGATGTTAATGCTTTTTAAGTCAGGCTCATCATTTTCACTTGGATGTTGCTTTATCAATGTATTTATGACATTGTGAAATCTCATTTGAATTTTATATGACTTAATTAAAAGGTTATGTCAATAAATTATATATGTGCCAACTTCTAACCTTATCCAGCAATGAATTCATTGCCTAAATCCTTATCTGTGAGGCTTGCTTGTAATTGCAATATCAACTCATTATGTTTCTGTGTTCACAATATTTATAACATCAATCAATATCTTTGGCTAACCCGTATTAGCCTCAAGTAAGCTCTAATTGATATTCATAGTAGAAATTATCACAATTTAATTAATACAAGTCTTTAAATTATAAAAGCCACAGTTGTTATAAGTAATGTACTTGGTGGTTATAATAGCAATTGTTTGCTATAAAAGTCTTAGTTTGTGACTATTGTAGCAGTAGTTGGTTGTAAAAGCTTTAGAAGATGGCTAAAATAGTAGCAAGTGGCTGTAACAATTATAAGTGATGGCTAATAACATTTGGTGGCCGTTCACATAAACTTCTCTTTAAGAGTAATATTATAGTTGTCAACCCATCCTGGAGGATTGTATATGCATTTTTTTAGATATAGAGCTAAAAGATCAAGTCCACCTTTAAGGATAACCATAAGCAATTTATTGCACTAAAGATCACGGAGAGATTGAAATTATCATCGAGTCGTCTTTGAGATTTTGGCGTTAAACATAATTGGACGAAGAGAAGTATTTTCTGAGATCTTCCATACTAGAGAAACGATTTGATTATAATAACTCGATGTTATACATATTGAGAAGATTTTTTTTTAAAAAAATATTCAATACTGTTCTGGATATAAAGGAAAAAAATAAAGAAAACGTCAAAATAAGATTTAACCTGAAGGAGTATTGCAAGAGGAGGGGGTTAGAACTACAAGAGAAAAATGTAGGTAAGGTAATAAAGCCCAAAGCTACATATTTTCTCACATTGGATTAACGAAAGCAATCTTTGAGTGGTTGCACTTTAAAGTTTCCTAGTGGTTCTGCTTTTAACGTAGGTCGCTATGTTGACTAATTCTGTTAATTTTCTGACATGATTCTGCTTACTAATTCTGTTAATTTTTTTTCCTAATTTAGATGGCAGGTGCACAGTACCTGGAGAGACCTCGTGTTCAAGGGACATTGGAAAACACATACAGAAGGCTGAAGAAGGCTGTCACTCGTCCTGAGAGGTACGACACTCCTGCCGCTATGTTCACTCCTTCTGCTGCCCACCCAACACTTCTCCCTCGTAGGCACCAGATCCCACACCAGGACCGGTTTCCCGTCCAAATTTCTCCTACGATGAGTCAGGCACCTCAACTCCCACCCCTCAGTTGGATGACACCTCTGGTAGGGTTTATATTGTGCGGAGGGAGAATATTTTTTTAACATTAGAACAAAGTTCAATTTTCATCTAGATTTCTGTTGTAAATAATATTTCAATTTCAGGTTCTTTTCCATTCAGGCTGCTCGAGACATGCATCACAGAGATCATCCGAAGCAAGTATGATTAGACGTTTATATCCTGGAAACAGATCCCGATTGCCACTCGATACATGTGCTTCCATGAGTTTGTGGTATGATAAATTGTAATAGAATGCTAATCTCTACTTTTTTTATACTAATCAAACTTACATAATTTCTAATTTGTAGAGGTCCTTCTCCTGGTTGCTGGAGCATCACCAGCAGATTCGACAGATTTTGAGGTTCATAGCAGACATCAGCTGAGAAACATGTTTACCACAACACAATAGAAGGGGGAGAGACCCGCGTGTGTGGGTGAGGTTGTCTGGGCTGAGTTGAACGGAGCATTGTCCTCTCCGAAATACCAGAGGAAAAGACAAATAAACCAGCAAAATAGGATGATGGAGGTAGCTAGAGGGGTCGCACTCCACATTGAAGGTTAAATCCCCAATACAGAGCACTATTGGAGAAGTGTAAGATTATCTCAAAATTTAGAAACTAAAAGATTTTTGTAATTGTGTGATACTTACCATTATCTCATGTACACAAGCCAAGCAGCTTGACCGAGAGCCATCTACTGTAGAGTTGCATGGCCTAATGCATCTGGGTCCGGATACTTAGCAGTGGGTCTCCGATCATTCTCGTCGTGTCAATGCAAGCAAGAAAAAAAAAATTAATCTTTGATTTTAATTAAGTAGGAGTACGAGCAGCTCCGGGAGAGGCAGAGGGAGATGGTTAGCCCTGTCATTAACAGTTGTATCTAGTCTAACATTGCTCAGTCTGATTTTTAGCTATGAACTCAAGCGACGAGGAAGAAGGGATGGGTTTATGACCTAGGCTCAAAGGTCTTACATTTGAGGTTGAGTGCTCTCGCGATGATGTGGGTGGCCTTAACTCGATACATGCTCAGCATGAGGAGCTTGCCAGGCGGGTCAACTTGATGAATAGAGAGCTCCGACAGATGCGTGTAAGTTAGCAAATGGTTACAGATAGTCTAACATGTTTGACATATAATATTGATCATCGAGGCAAGTGACATATGAGTGTTATCGACGAGGATGCAGAGCAGGTTTAGAATTTCTATTATGTGTTTGATGATGTCCCATTTTCTGTGGTTGTGAACTTTGAATGTTTAGATCCCTATTTGTTTAATTAAACTTGGTATCATTGTTTAGACATGTTGATTAGAGTCAGAATTATCTGACGCTAATCTGCCTAATTCATATAGTGAAACCTAACATTTATATTGATCTTCAACAAAACAATTATCAAAATTATTGATCAATATAAATTTCAATAATGTTAAATTTTGTGTGATTAGCTCGAATGTTGACCATAATAAGGTCATTAGTCTTAAATCACCTAACAATTTTTTCATTAACATCTCCAGCTCTATATATAACAGTAGTAGTAGTGCCGACAACCATGACCAGTTGATAGAACAACCTCTTTGAAGGTCGTCAGTGCTCTCAGGTCACGGGTTTGAATCCCCTTCTGACAAGTTTGTTGGTATTGAGATCGGTCCTCAAATAGTTAGGCAAATGAGGGTGGCTGGAGACTCATATAAAAGAATTAGTATAATGTATCTTTTAACTATGATTGGAGCAGATATCCACACATACAACATAAATCAAGTTTCTTTAATAAAGCAGCTGATGACTAATTTTACTCGATTTTTATTATTAGAAGACATATACAATTGAATTCCTCTTTTTAAATGTGCTGCTTATTTTTACATGTTAAATAATATTTTCTTTAATAGTACTTAATATGGATATTAAAATAATAAAAATATAACACACCGGAACACATGAACCAAGTGCATTAAAGAATTTAGGGAATTAGATACATAGCACTCCAAACACTGCTATTTACAAAATTAGCACCCTCGTTCATCTATTTCAAATTCTCACTCTAATAACAAAATTTACAATAAAAATCTAACCCATATTTTCTTAATTTTTATGAAATGTCCATTAATTTAATCATGACATATATAAATGCATATCAGGTGCTATATTTGTAATTATCCAAGAAAAAAATTATTAGCTGTGCTCATCTAAAAATGTCGCCTTGTAAGATGCCTTAATTGTGATTTTGTTTATTAATGGACAAATTAGGTTTAAAGCCGTAAGCATGGAGTGATGACGACTTGAGTCGATGCAGAATGTCTGATTAAATCATTAAGAGTCTTAATATGTTTTAATTAAGTTTTTTAGCGAATGAAAACTACTTGTCGCCCATTCATATATTCGGCATTGGGTATAGTTTTTGCAGCCTTGGTAATACTGTGCTACTTAAATGTATAGAAAAATTCAAAATTGAGCTTGGAGGAGGATCATGAGAAAATGGAGCTGAAGTCCAGTATCCTACATCGAAGATCCGATGAATGCTTTCTGCTCCTGCCGCAACCGCCCACCTTCAATCATTGCTCGTCAGTTGTCGTTGATAGGGCTGTCAAAAAAGCTCGTTGTTCTCGAAGATTTCGTGTTCGGTTCGTCAGGTAGTTGATGTTTCATTCGTTCGATAAGCAAATGAGATGAACACGACTATTTTTTTTTTAGTTCGGTTTATAAACGAATCAAACACTGTTAGGATTTATAATATGAAATAATTATTTTTGTAAGAAGTTATGAGGAATAAATTATTTCCTTAGATTAAGGAGATATTTTCTTTCCTATTTTATATTTATTTCCTTGGATTAATAATTATTTGTTTTCTTATTTTATGTTATTTCCTATATCTCCTAATAATTAATATGAATTGATTATTGAAGATATTAAGTGATATATTTTTTCTTTCATATCATACATTTTTATTATTTTTTATATTGTAGGATTCTTGTAATAGTTATGTATACATTCGTTCATATCAATGAAATAATTAAGTATTACACCTTATTCCACATTATTCTGAATTTCAACAAACATTAACAGTCGTGTGTTCGATCAGTGTTTGAATCATTATTATTCGAAATATAAAATAATTTAAAATAATTATATATATATATATATAATTATCATATTTTAAAAATAATTAGATACTCTAAAAATTTATAACATTTTAAAAATTAAATCATATAAATTATAATAATGATTTATATTTTTTTTAAAATTTGTGTTTGAAACTTTAAATGTATTTTTTATTTGTAACATGTTTTTAATAATTTGTAAAAATATAGTTGAAGAAATGATGTATTTTTATAATAGAGGGAAGTTTTTTTTTTTTTGGCAATTTGAGAATTAATAATTAAATTCATTATCATTCTAACAATTTAAACAATTCAAAAAAATTTAAAAGATTTCGAATAATTCAAATAATTCGAACATTTCAAACATTTCAAACATTTCAGACTAATTTCAAACAAATCGAACCGAAAACAAACAATAACTTTAGGAAAAATTTCGAACACAAGTATATTTAAAACACACTTAATTTCAAGCTAACCGAACACGAACACGAGCTATGTTTGTTTGTGTCTGGTTGGTTTACACCTTTAGTCGTTGACCATCGTCTACCGCCCCTTACTCGTTGTAATAAAGCTCCTTCTAGAAGCACAACGTACATTGCTATATTGCAGAATAACGAAGCACATTATTGAACAATGACCAACATTATTGAGTAATGAAATATTGTACAGAGTAGCGATCGATTTGCATAATGAAGCATTTGACGGAGCAGTGCATGGATTTGAATGTTGTACAATAACACACTGCATACGGTTCAACAATGCACCCCGTATATGGTGTAACGACACACTTTGAAGGCAGTATAATAATGCACCTAGCACGCTACGATGACTCACCTCCATATAGTGTAAAGACACCGCAAAAATGGGGTAACAACATAAGTCACATATTGTGGAATGACACACCCGACATACAATGTAACGACGCCTCTCAAAGAATGTGTAACATTGTGCCGCATAATAACTACTTGCAACCACCTTACTTTGGATACAATGACCTTCTTCAGACTCCTAAAGTTCTCTCATCACAGTTGCCTACTACAACTTAAAACCTATATGGTTCACTGCAACTACATCCCCTTACTATGCCCTTCACAACCAACTGAGGCTATTATAACTTTCCATTATGACCTATGTGACCGATTGTGACATATTTAGTCCACAACTCATATAACTCCTAAATCTGACATTGTGACCTACAAATATTATCACAACTCACTACTACGAACTACATGATTCACAACTCATACAAATTCCAACTTCAACCTCTACGACTTTTGTTAATATGATTCAGATATTGTTTACTTATGCAACTCAAACAATAAAAAGTAAAATTGTAAAAATTAACCTATTTAAATTTTAGTATCTTCTAGCACTTTCACACCCATTTCTCTTTTACCTTCCATGGAAAGTGAGAGAGGGAGAATGTATGTGTCAAGTTAGGCAGAGAAAGCTCAAATTTGAAAATCAAGGTATAATTCATATAGTAGGTTAGATGAGAAAATCAACATGTCTCCTAGAATTTTATTGGTTTCCGGTGTATAAATAATGACTTTAGGCCTTCTTATTAAAATCTGCACAATGTCATGATATGTTGATATTATTTCTTTGAAGTTGTTCATAAAGAATGACTGAATAATACATTATATATTGTTCGAGCGTCGATTATGATGGTGTCAAACATTATTATAAATTGATGATATTCTTCTTTGGAATTAATATACATCAAAACTGTTCTCTTCATTTTCTTCTTTTTACTATAAAATCTTTAAAATAGTCATTAGGCACAAACTTGAAAGATCATGGTTCACTTCATAAAAATTTTACAAATAATGTTTATTAAACTTTTTGTGCATTAGGATTATTTACTTATTTATTAGTTTATTGCTAGCTCTATTTGGAGAATGAAATCATTAAAGAATATTATCATATATGTGTCAAAAAAATGGCCTAACACGACAACTCGGCCTGAACCCGACTAAAAAAATTCAAGTTCAGGTTGACCTGAATAAATTTTGGGTCAGGTTCAGGTTAAAATACCAACCCATTTATTTTCTTGGGTCGGGTTTGTGTTGACTTGCCACCCAAAAATGCCCCGCCAACCTTAAATTGACTTAGAAATCGACCCACCAATTCAA